GCAGCAGCACATGAGTAAACAGGAAGCCTCCTTAAAGAGAATAACAAAGTCACAGACTCGAGCTATGAAATATGCTGTGTTGTGTAATAATATTCAGATCTGTAGAAAGCAAATAGAAGGGATAAGACTCGTAAGATGTGTGAGGCATAGACAAGCCCCCTGCGGGACGTGTCAGACTTGGGTGATGTAGGTAGATCACCCGCTTGTGAACACAGAAAGGGACGGAAGGACCAAGCTTGGACTGAATATTTATGATCCCTCCTTAACTTCTGCATCTGCTTACCCCACTCTAGTCCCAGCCCTGTGCATAGGCCTGACAGTCTGCAATATTCTAAGTGTCCATGAACCTGCGAGGCCCTTGGGACTCATGAGGTCTAATTCCTGTACCCACTGGGGATACTCATGCCGCCCACAGGGTCCTCGACTGCAGAGCACAGATGAGTCCCATGGCCGCCCTGCAGACTGAACAGAGAGCTGCAGCCATCAGCCATCTCTCGGGGAGAGGGTGGTGTGTGACTCCGGCTAGGCAGCTTCTTTCTGAGGGGGTGCTGCGAGCTCCTCACCACACCTTTGCAGGACTCCGGCAGTGTCCGTCTGTCCACTGGCACTCTATCCTAAGAGTGTTACCACTCCATCTCTCGCTTCTCACTCTGCGTTTTAAATTTATTTATTAAACTGTGTGATCTGAGTCAATTTGAAAAAAAAAAAAAGAAGACCTAAATAAATGGAGAGATATGTCTTGCTCATTGGGTTGGATGACTCAATATTAGTAAGATCTCAAGTGTTCCCAAATTGATCTATGTGTTAGATACAATCACAAAATCTCAGAATTTGTGTAGAAATTAACAAGCTGATTTTAAAACTCATTTTGGAAGACTAACACTACCTGATTCCAAGACTTATCATAAAGCTACAGAAATCAAGGGAGTTGGTACTGGCATTAAGTTAGACAAATATTAATAGATAAATGAAATAGAAAATCCAGAAATAGATCTACATGTAATACACACACTATTTTTTTACAACAATGTTAACGGAATTTAGTGGAGAAAGATCAGTCTTCAACAAATGGACTGGAACCATTAGATATTCATATGCAAAAAAAAGAATTTCAATTCATACCTTATACCATGTACAAAAATTAATTCAAAACATATCATAGACTTGAATGTAAAACCTAAAACTATAAACCTTCTAGAAGCAAGCAGAGGAAAATAGCCGTGACATTGGGTTAGGTAAAGATTTCTGAGATATGACACCAAAAATATAATCCATAAAAGAAAAATTGAATAAGCTGTCCTTGACTAAAATTAAAATGTTCTGTTCTTCAAAAGACAAGCCACACTCTGGGAGAAAGTATTTGCAAAATATATATCTGATAACAGACTTGGATCCAAAGTAAAGAACTCTCAAAGCCCAGTAACATTTTTAAAAGGGGGCATGGTGATGAAGAACAAACAACTTAAACAGAAACTTTACCAAAAAAGACATATAGATTGCAAATAAGCACAGGAAAATGTTCAATATTGTTAGTCATTATGTAAATGCAAATTAAAACCATACCTTCCCCTTATTAGAATGGCTAATATTAAAAAGATAACTGATATCAAGTGTCATCAAGGATATGGAAGAACTTCAACCCTCACACACTGTCAGTGCGAATGTAAAATGGGACAACTACTTTGGAAAATCATTTGGTAGTTTCTTAAAAAGTTAAACATACATCTTCCATATGATCCAGACATTTTATCCCTAGATATTTCCCCAAGAGAAATGAAAGCATATGTCCATACAAAGATTCATACAGAAATGTTCATAATGGCTTTATCTGTAGAGTCAAAAACTGAAAATAACTCGTGTCCTTCAACAGGAAAATGGATAAACATAGATATTGAGTATAATGGAATGCTACTCAGCTATAAAAAGGAATGAACTACTGATGCACACAATATGGATGAATTCCATTCATTGGGCTGAGTGAAAGCAGCCGGATGAAAAGAGTATCTACTGAATGACTCCATTTATTAAAGCTCTAGGAAATACAAATTAATCCATAGTAACAGAAAGCAGATCAGTTAGTACAAGTTGCCTATGGATGAGAATGTGAAGATGTAGGAGGTTGTAAGGAAGGGCTTCGTGGAAGGATTATATAAAGGGTAAGTTTGATTGTGATGACAGTGTCATGTTGTATACATGTCAAAATTATCATATTGTGCATTTGAAATATGTGTAGTTTATTGTCTGTCATACTTCAATGAAGCAGTTTTAAAAAGTTTAGATCCATTTCCTTGCAATCAAAAAGAGTTTATCTTTCACCAATGTAAATGGTAGATGTACTTAAACACTAAAATGAACTCAACACACAGTGCATGCAATTAACTGGAGAATGTGACAGAAAACAAGTTATCTGCTTTTGTTAGGAGACCTCTAATTGGGTTAAAGTTGCTGTTGTTGGGGTTTTGTTGTTTTTAGTCTTTGGCCACACTGAGAGGCATGTGGGATCTTAGTTCCCTGACCAGGGATCAAACCAGGGCCCCCTGCATTGGAAGGCAGAGTTCTAATCACTGGACCACCAGGGAAGTCCCTGGATTAAACTTTTTTGAAAAAAACAATCTTCCAAATTTCTTAAGACTTTTCTCCCTTGAAAAATAAAGGCTTGGGTCACATGCTGTGCTGGTGCATATTTTAACCCTTTCAGGAATATCATGTTATGGCAAAGCAAAGAATATTGGAGTCACTTTTAAAAACCAAGTTTCCATGAATGAGAGGAAGTCTATGTACACTTTTCTTCTTAAACGATTTGTCAATGAAGTTTGAGTTCTGTCATGCTTGACTAGCCTACATACTATGTGCCTACATACTGGAGAAATATAAGCTTTTGTTTTTACAATCTCAAAACAAAATCCAGGAAACAATTTAAATTCATGTAATGACTTGTATGCAGCTATTTTTGAAGTTTCTTGTTTCCCAGTCACAACTTAATAAAAAATTTGTTAATAGAGGAGTCAAGTGTTCTATGTGCTTACATGACAACAAACTGAAAATAATTTATCCCCATTTTATCCTTACAATAGATTTCAAATCTGCACTGGGATGCTGAGGACAAGGTTATAAAACCTCACTGTGCAGCAATGGGCGCCACAGAGCAAGATGGGGTGAAAATGCAAGACACAGAGGTAGATTAACAGGGACAGTCTCAAAGCGCTCACAGTGTGCGTGCCAGACTTGGGATGGGGCTGGAAGGAAGTGGAAAAGCCTAGACAGAGGCGCCTGGCAGGCTACAGTTCTGGAAAGGAATTGGACACAACTGAAATGACTTAGCACGCACACAAGGTTTTCTTAAAGAGCAGGATGGCAAGCAACAGAGAGGGCTCTGTGAAGCTGGGTAATTCATATTATTTTCTTCCATAAACCAGTTGAGGTGTACAATTTTCCACAGCAACACCGAGAAGCCCCAGCTTCAGAGGTGTAAAGAAAAGGGTTTTGTGCCAAGGAACAAATGACTGAACAAAGGATTCGCCAAACTGATGAAAACAAGACAAAAAAAGTTTTTGCAATAAAAATTATCTAAAATCTATCTTCCTAACAAGAGGCTTTGTCTCACTTTTGTATGTTCCCATCCACTTTCTGTCTACATCAAAGAAAACAAAGCTCATTTTAAGCACTCTCATTAAGTCTCAGTAGCCCTGATGACATTACTCTCTAAAGGGTTTTAACAACTGATGTTGTCTGTACCGGTTTCCCCAGCACCAGTGTGTGTTAATTTAGTAGATTCCTTTCACTTGCACTTAGTAGTTACCCATCAAGGATCAACACTTCTTTGGTCTGCTATTTCCATTTGTGTAACATGTTACATCCTTTGACAAGGTAAAATTTCAATAAAAAGTAAAGGAAGGTAACACAGTAATTCTGCATCCTCTTCTCCAGCCTATTCTACTTAAGGATTATTTAGTGAGTCTGTGTGATTCCATATTTTCCTGCTTCATATCACTTATCAATGTACTGCCATGCTTCAGCCCCCACCTCATACTACACCCAACCCAAGGTCAAGATCAACTATCAAAGCTGAGATGCTGTACTTTAAAAAAATTAATTAATATGGCTGTGCCAGGTCTGAGTTGCATGTGGGATGAAGGATCTTTAGTTGCAGCATGAAGTATCTAGTTCCCTGACCACAAACTGAGCCCAGGCCTCTGCCTGCATTGGCAGCATGGAGTCTTAGTCACTACCATCAGGGAAGTCCCTGAATTCTTTTAATTTTCTTATTAAGTTTGGCACAGCTCCCTACTCCCTACTCCCAACCTTGGAATTCTCTCTCTGCTCCTCTTCTACTTCCCACCCACCAAATAGGTTTGTGTTCACTTTGCTACCACTGCATATTGTATCTATGAAGTAATGGTTTTCTAATCAGTCTCCCACTTCAGCTTGGGAGCTTCTTGCTTAGTTCCAAGCACTTCTGAGTGTCTACCATGAGCCAAGAAATTGTGCAAGGCAAGGTTGGCATATCTCCAGGAGTAGGTGAACGATGAACATACATATGAATGGGTGAGACTAGTACAGGTGAGAACTAGCCAGATTCCAAACTCCATATAAAATATTGACAGTTTCAGTTACAACTCAGCCTTTGACATTTCCCAATCGCAAAGAGTTGCTGACGATAGGTGACCCCTCCAGGGTCTCTGTTAAGTACACGTGTGTTCTGGTAGGAATACAATTGAGTGTGTGAGACAGTAGGAAAGATGCGTTCAATGATTTCTAAACAGTGTGGATTGAAAGGTCCGAGGCTGGAAGAGAACCCAGAGGTAGGCTCCCAACTCTTAAGATCACGGTTCAGAGACTCCCTCCCTTTCACAAAAAGATGTCACTCTGTTTTTCCATGCCTTTATTGGTGACAGCAATGGACAACAACGTCAGGCATAGCAGGTGCCACACCAACACCTGGCGTGGCAAACAGGCACTGCAGGGCCACTGGCATACACAGCCCAAACACAAGAACCAGTCTACCCCGGCCATGTACCCGAATGGGCATGACGCCGGCTAACCAGTTTGTATGTGTGGATCAGTCTGTCTGAGTGTCTTGGACGCTGCCTGCAGGGCGCCCCCATCCTCGGCACATGGTAGGGGCTGTTGTGAACACAGCGTGACATCCCCCGGTGGACGGTCAAGCCCCGGTGCTGACCATGGGGAACAGGGCTGGGGACTGGAGGAGGCAGGGGGCCAGGCACACAGTTCACTCCGGGGCCACATCCTACAAAAGAACCAGCCATCATCAGAGCAGGCTTCTGGCCACAGTGAGCGCAACTCTGCCTCAGGCAGTTCTGGTTCTTCAGGGTGAGTTTCTCTGGCCTTCAATTCCCCCATCTACAAAATGGCAATACCACTTCCCATATTGCCAAGTCAGGAAACTGACAATCAATGAGCTAATTCATGAGTCTGCAGATGCTGTTCCAGACTCAGCTGTGACAGAACCCAATCCTGGGGGGACACAAGGGGACCCTGACGTCTCTCAGCCCATCTGGACACAGGAGACTAGGTTGAGGGAGAGGTTCAAGGTTCAAGGAGAGGCTGGAAAAGGTGTGCTGGGAAGTTGTGGGGACACATACCTAAGTGGGGTGGTATCGAGTCTTCCATTGGATTAAAATTGAAGAATTCACAGGGTGGGAAGGGCTGGCCTGGGAAAAAAGGGGGTTCCTGGGGCAGAGGTGGAAACAGAGGAGGTAGGGAAGGCTGAGGAAGAGGGTAGGGAAAAGGCATAGGAGGAAGTAAGGGAGAGGGTGGGGGCAAGGCTGGCTGCTCGCCGAAGTCTGAGGGCTGCCCCTGGCTCCCCTGGAAGAGATGATCCGGCTCTGGCCAGCCTTTAATCCATGGGTCTAGAAACAGGATGGCTGTTTTAGGTAAGGCTGGGAGCCAGGTCGCCCTGAACTCTGGCAGCCTACACTTCCAAACGTTTACTTCCTCCTCGTGGAGAACACAGCACCCTCTACTTCATACTCAGGTTTCCTCGTCCCCTCTCTTTTCAGGCCAAGCTCAAGCTATGCTCCTTCTTCCCTGGGTCTCAATAGTCAGTGGCTCTTTGTTCATGATCCCCTCCAGTCTGACCTCATGATCCCTTCCACTATTCTCCCTCTATTGCCCAGCTTGTCTATCTGTCCTCTCCTAGCTCTTCCTCAAAGACCAATAACTACGTTTAGTATATCTCTGTTAAAAACAAAGATCCTATCACCTCCTTTTCCCAGCAGGTTTGGGTTCCTTTCACATTTCCTCCCACAAAGAGTATGCCCAGGCACCATCCCCTTCTCAACTGTTCACTGCCTCTTTTAACCCTACTCCACTCCTTCAATACTTTTCCTACAAAAATGTAACCACTTCCTCACTTCCTAACCATCACACGACATGGCCAAAAGCCTCTACCCTCCCTGAAAGTGCCTCTATCCTTATCTCCTTCTGTTTCCTCCATCAGTCTCTTTTCTTCCAGCTCCCAAACACGGCCATTGTTTTGCTCCTTCCGCCACTGTTCACATTCACGCCCTTAGCGGCCATCTGCCTGCTGGGCACCACTGACTCTATTTACTCAGCATTTCCATGGTACTTCAAAGAGATCTGCCCTCATCACACTCGCCAACTCATCCTTCCACCTAACTCTTCCTTTTGATGTTGCCATTTCTGTGGCTCCAAACTGGGTTCAGAAGACCTGACACCCAACAAACTAGCCTTACAACCTTTAGAGCACCACTTCCTCTGATGGGGGTCAGTTCTCCCAACTGATTTAGATGAGATTTGTGTGCTAGTTGCTCAGTCGTGTCCGACTCTTTGAAACCCTATGCACTGTAGCCCACCAAGTTCCTCTGTCCATAGGGATTCTCCAGGCAAGAATACTGGAGTGGGTTGCTATGCCCTGCTCCAGGGGATCTTCCCAATACAGGGATTGAACCCAGGTCTCCTGCATTGCAGGCAGATTCTTTACCATCTGAGCCACCAAGGAAGATGAGATTTAGTTCTCACCTAAAAAATCAAAGAAACTGGACCATTATATGATCAAAGTCCTAATTCACTTTCCTGATAGTCCAACTCCAGGCTAAAAGTGACATTCTTGGCCTCTCTGCCCTCACATCCTCTAGTGCTACTACAGCCTTCTAATATGACTCACGTCTCCAATTCAATAAACACCATCCTGCAGGTACCATATACATAGCAATTGTACTAGATACTGGGGCTGAAAGGGATGAATTATCAACAAGTGAGGCAGGCACTTTACCCTTGCAGGACATGATCCAGGGGAGAAGCAGACATGGAACAATCACCCATGATGTCCCCTTTAAAAGCAGGCAGGAACTGAGGGTTTAACAATCCCTGCCAAGGGGCTTTGTTGCTTCTACCACTCTGCCTGAATTGCCTTTCCTCTGCTTTTGCTTTTCCATGCCCCACATCCACTCCTATCTAAAAGTACTCCCATTCTTTTCCTGTTTATCTGTAGCATACGGGTTTTTTGACATATTGCCTTATGTACTCAATACTCATTTGTGTATGCAGAGGTGCCTACAGGGCTAGACCAGGGGAAGGAAAGCACACTCAGGATTCACAATGGTCCTTCAAGGGGCTCTACTCCCCTTGAGGACCTCTGTCCTGCTGTTTATGAGACCTATGCTCTGAGGGCCCTCTTTGCATCACTACCCTCCCCACTTGTGACAGGGCTCACCATGGGGATAGTCACGCTTGGGCAGCTCCACACCCCAGGCATCGGCCACATGGGTCAGAAGCAAATGTGAGAGGTGGCGGTGGGCATGCTGGTCCCAGTGGACACCATCCCGGTGACGGTGACGTACTGCATGCCGAAAGTGAAAGTGGAGGTCCAAGACATCGAAGCAGTGGTCCCCAGCCAGAGTAGCACTGTAGAAGTTCCCTTCAACCACATCCCGCCGCAGAGAGCCTGCCAGGGGCTGGAGCTGAGTGAGAAAATGCAGCATCTAAGAGCCACTGAATGATGCAGAATCGGGAGGGAGGGTCCTCTATCTACCAATCAGCTGCCCCATCTTCTATCCTGACACACTCCAGTCACTTGCCTCAGGCAGGAGGAACCCCCCAGTGACACGCTCTCCTAGGGGCATCGCCATGTTCCACACCAGCAGGCAGGAATCTGGCAACACCTGGTCCATGCGCACAAACACTCGCTCCAGGTTCTCTCGGTAGCTCTCCATCGAGCAGCGGCCATACCTGTTGGGGAGCACAAAGAGTGGGCAAAAACACAGGGGTGGGTGGCCTCTGAGCCATACCTCCACCCCCAATCAGTATTTCCCTCTCCCCCCGCCCCAACCTGGAGAGATCCCAGAGGCAGGAGTTGATGATCACCAGGTCCGGGGCAGGCCCATATGTCAGCTCCTCCAGGACTTCCTCGAGGTACTCGGAGTAAACGCGGGTGAGGAAGTAGAAGCGTACAAGGTGGTGGCCAGAACCCGAGCAGAACTGGCGGACCTCCCGGTACTGTGTCCCGTTGTGCAGCTCGCCCAGCTGACCCCCAGCGACCAGCTGGTCCTGTTCAAAGCTCAGCTCCCCCTGCCCACCCCCCCCACCCAGCTGGTCAGACCCAAGCCAGGGAGGAGGCCCCTACCAGGCCAGAGTCTGTGCCCGCCCATCACTGGCATGGCCACCAAGCTTCCCTCACCTTGGCTTTCAGCTGGGCAGCTGTGAGCAGTGAGTCTTTCTGGAGGAGAAGCACCAGGTCTTTATACACAGCCCGCTGGACTGAAGGGAGACAGAGATCCTGAGGCTGAGGCAGGCCTTACCCCACCCCCAGCTCCTTCCAAACCCAGGCCTCTTGCTGAGGTGGACCAACACCACCTTGGTGGAGTATTGACTTAGGGGTATGAGAAAAGGTGAAGTTAAAAAGTCCTGGCATTGACTTTGTTCCTTCCAGGTGTGTACCTTCCAGGTGTACATAGCGACCTGGCAGAAGCTGGCCAAGTCACCCAAGAAACAGATAACACAATACACTGCTTCCATGAGGACACTGTGGGGGTCTGTCAGGAAGAAAAATGCTGAGCAAGGTGTTGGTGAAAAGCCTGACAGGCTACATCTGTCAGGACACCTGTGGAAGGCGTTGGGGAAATAAACCTTCTGCATTGGAACCGACTGGCTTCCCTTGTAGCTCAGCCGGTAAATAATCCGTCCGCAATGACGGAGACCTGGGTTCGATACCCGGGTTGGGAAGATCCCCTGGATAAGGGAAAGGCTACCCACTCCAGTATTCTGGCCTGGAGAATTCCATGGACTGTATAGTCCATAGGGTCGCAAAGAGTTGGACACGACTGAGTGACTTTCATTTCACTGGAACGGACTGGGGCTCAGGAAAGAGGTTTGAGACGGAGACAAAACGTCTCCAGATGCAGAAAACAGACCGCAGGCGCGGGACCAGGAAGTGTGACTCTAGAAGGGCACTCACTTGAGTCCCCCAAGATGACCACGAACTTGTTGTGTAGCAGCTGCTGGACTTCCGAGGCCTGGAAATGGACCATGCTGCTTCGCTGCGGGCGGCACGGCTCCTCGTTCTCCAGACAGAAGACCATGCTGCCGCCGACAACGACGGGCTGCAGGGAAAGGCCACTGAGCTATACGAGGGAGCGGACTCAACTAGCTCCAGGGCCCACTTCGGAATAAAGGAGACCTGCGCTGGCCCCTTTCGAGCTGCTCAGGGATACAGGTACCAGGTGGCGGCAGCAGAGTGGGGTCCGTGCTGGCGCCAGCCTCTGTTACACTTGGCAGAGTGAGCCAAGGCCCGCGAACCTCCGGGATACCCTGCCGCTTCCACGCGGCGCCGCCCTGCCCCCGCCACGTGCCGGTCGCCGCCCCGCGCATGCGCGCGCTCACTCGCGCCAATTACCGAGTCCCGGGGCTCCGAGTCGTTCACCAGCGACTGGGGCAGGCCCGCACACGCGTGCGCGCGTCGTCTGCAACGGGATTCGGGCCTAGCCTCATGTTCCCGTGCCCGAAGAGCTGGTCGCTTCAGCACTGCTCCTGCCTCGCAGAGCTTGTGCGTCCCGGTTAGTGGTCGGTGCGCAGCCCGTCGCCCAGCTCTCTCCATGCGTGAGTCGCGGAGGCCCGACGACGCCTCGGGCCTCCCCGCCCCGGGCGACAACGCTCACAACTTGCACTTCCGGTCACTCATGTCCTGCCCTGCCCGACCCCGCAACGTCCGAGGGGACAAGAAGGCAGCGCGGGTGACCGCCGTAGGGAGCAGAAGCCAGGGCCGAGCCCGCCCCCGTGTGGGCGGGGGCACAGCGACGGCCAAGTACTGCCGTCCACAGCGGTGAAGGCCGGTGGCCGCGGCCTCATCACGTGACCCGGACGGGCGGAAGCGGAAGTGCTTGCCTGCCTCCCAAGCTGGGCGGGTGTACCTGGTGCTGGCAAGCAGTCGCTTGTTCCAGCCATGGACTGCTACACCGCGAATTGGAACCCACTCGGGGACTCTGCTTTTTACCGGTGAGCCGCCCAGCCCTTCTGCCCACGGCCTGGTTACCCCGCTAGCCCTCCGGCTCGAGTCTTCGGGTGGAGCCGGTGGCGCGCGACCCCGCTTCTACTGGCGGTGGATCTGCCCCTCGCCGGCGCTCGCCCTTGTATCTACCGCTTAACGCGCAGCCTCCTAGGGCCGGGCCTTCCCCTTCTGCGGAGAAGGAAAATGAGACAAACCTGGTCACACAAGTAGGGGCACAGCCCAGCTCATCCCAGGGCTGTCACCCTCTGGAAGAATGCTCACATCACACTGTGGGTGGCTGCCCTCTGGAGACAATGAGTGCTTTATCTCTTGTCGGGAAGTGCTGCTGAAGTCAAACCACTGGATGCTCCTGGGGGGCGGGGTTGCCCAGCTTGCAGGTGACATTACTGACCAACTCTGGGAGAAAGCGAACCGTCAATAAATCAGGCGGCGAGTGAGCACGCCCTGCTAAGGTCAGCCCTCTCGTGGGAGTTGTGGAGTCTTTAAACCACTAATCTTTCTAAACTGTAGACTGGTCATATCATTACCCTAATTAGAAGTTTTTGCAGTACTTTACCTTATAAAGTACAAACTCCTTATCATGTTACATCTGTAAGCCGGCCCCATTTGTCTCTTCAGCTTCCTGAGTTGTTACCCAAAGCTGTGTTCAGTTGGGCAGAGCAAGATCTCAACACACTGTGATGTTTCCTGACTCCCTGTGTTTGCACCAGCCTGCAGTTCCTTCTGTGGGCACTGCCATTTTCCTCGTTACTTCACTGGAGAATTGTAGCTCATCCTTCCGGGCTTAATTTAAGGGTTTTAATCCCAAAAGAGTTGACTTTCATCTGACTTTCCTTTGGGTCTCAGTGCTAAGGTTGTTACTTATGACACATTAGGGCAATATTTGTATAGGTTTCTTCTGCTAAACCAAACTCCTTGAGAGCTGAATGCATATTTCTTGCATTTCTTTATCTCTTATGTATTTAGAACAGTGCCTGCTATGTGCGTGCATGCTGAGTTGCTTTCAGTTGTGTCCGACTCTTTGTGGACTGTAGCCTGTCAGGCTCCTCTGTCCATCGGATTCTCCAGGCAAGAAACTGGAGTGGGTTGCCATGCCCTTCTCCAAGGGATCTTCCCAATCCAGGGATTGAACCCTTGTCTTCTGTGTCTCCTGCATTGGCAAGCAGGTTCTTTACCATTAATGCCATAAAGTTTTTAAAAAAAAATACTTTGTTCATTGCAACTGAAGAACACAAAGAAATCACATTGGAGTCTTATTTCAATAGAAGACAGCTGTTCATGCTAGTGAAACCATATACCGTTGTTATGCACATATTAAACTTTTCAGTGTAATTTTTGATGCATAAAATGTCAGCACTTAACACTTCTGAGATGGACAAATGCCTTGATGCAATTTTTAGAGATCCGTTGCATTTGTCTTTTGTTTCTAATTCTTATAAATATGCCTGTACGTTGTGAAAAAATCAGCAAAAATTTAGTGTGACGTCAGTAGGAAATAACTGATTTAAACTATTTTTGTGGAGAAGGGATGTCACTTGACATGGGTTGCCATGTAATTTAGTGTTTACAACACAGCATATACTTTTAAAAGTATTGACTTGTATTACTTTTGAAAATATGTGTTGCATACACAGGCTTGTGAGAGTACTGAAAATGATGACCTCATTACCATAGAACTTCTGTTTATCATATGAAGTCTTAGCTTTGTTTATACACTAATAAAGTTTTAAATGAGTGTTTAAGTGTTGAGTGCATGCTATAGACATGACCCCTGTTGCTAGCCTATCCTAGCCTACCCTGTACTTCTAGAAAGGAGTAGTAGAAGTGTTAGCCCTGCTATAGAAGATGCATTATTCTTTGTAATGGGTGTTGAGCCTTTCTGTGTACTAGACCGACAGACAAAAGTGTGCAGACACAAGTGTGCTCAGTTGTGTCAGACTCTTTGGGGACCCCATGGACTGTAACCCACTGGGCTTCTCTGTCCATGGAATTTTCCAGGCAAGAATACTGGAGCGGGTTGCTATTTCCTGCCCCAGGGGATCTTCCTGACCCAGGGATCGAACCCGAGTTTCTTGCATCTTCTGATTGGCAGGCGGAGTCTTTACCACTGTGCCACCTGGGAAGCCCTTATAGGTTCTCTGCCAGAGTAAACAAAAATTTAAAGTTTAGGTGCAGATACCTGGTTTTATTTGTATTTGTACATAGTCTTATGCCAGAACTTAAATGTTAAAATAAGTGAATGAATGATAAACAGGTGGCACACATTTCAAGTTCTGTCTACAGGATAGGATTCTTTTGCATCTGGAAAAATGACTAATTTGGGAGGGTAAGGAGAGGGAAGGTGTTGGTTCTTGTGAGGCTTGATAATTTTAGCCACTTTTATCCTAAAAACCAATTTGGGATAATACCATTAAATAATGTTGCCCAACCATTGCTAGGCAGAATGTATATTGGGCCAGAAGAAAAACATGGGCCCTTTCTGCCCTCAGAACTTAGAGCCAGCAGGGAGACAGTTGGTAACCACTAATCATTCTATTTGGGGCTTCCCTGGTGTCTCAGTCAGTAAAGAATATGCCTGTGATACAGGAGACCAAGGTTCGATCCCTGAGTCAGGAAGACCCCCTGGAGAAAGAAAGGGCAACCCACTCCAGTGTCTTGCCTGGAAAGTCCCATGGACAGAGGACCATGGCAGGCAACAGTCCATGGGGTCACAAAAGTTGGACGTGACTTAGCAACTAAACCACCACCACCAGTGACTCTGTTTGGTCTTCCCTGATGGCTCAGTGGTGAAGAATCCACCTGCAATGCAGGACATGTGGGTTTGATCCCTGGGTTGGGAAGATCCCCTGGAAGAGGAAATGGCAATCCACTCTAGTATTCTTGCCTGGAAAATCCCATGGACAGAGGAGCCTGGTGGGCTACAGTACATTGGGCCAAAAAAAGTTGGGTACTACATGAATGACTGTTTGATCATGAGCACTGAGATTGGGGCTTCCCTGGTGGCTAAGATGTAAAGAATCTGCCTGTCATGTGGAGACCTGGGTTTGATCCCAGGGTAGGGAAAATCCCTTAAAGAAGGGAATGACTACCCACTCCACTATTCTTGCCTGGAGAATTCCATGGACAGAGGAGCCTGATGAGCTAGAGTCCATATTGTCACAAAGAGTCGGACATGACTGAGTGACTGACACTTTTTCACACTTTTCACTGAGGTAAAAGGTTATGTAGGACCCTCAGAAAGCATATAACAGTTTGGTAAGTCAGAGGTAAAGAAGACTTTCTGAAGGAGACAATGCCCCATCCAGAAGATAGGAAGATTTAAATACAGGGAATGGGATCCAAGAATATATACAAAGGTCCTGAGGCGGAAGAGACAGGGACACTCTCAATGACCTAAATAGAGCCAGTGTGGCTGCAGTGCTACACTGCTGCATTTGTCCTTTGTTTCTGATTTTTATAAATATGCCTGTACATTGTGAACAAAATGGCAAAAATTTTAAGGCAGTGAAGTCAGTGGGAAGTAACAGTGATTTAAACTATTTTTGTGGAAAAGGGATGTCACTTAACATGGGTTGCCATGTAATTTAGTGTTTACAACACAACACATACTTTTTAAAATATTGACATGTATTACGTGTGAAAATATGTGTTTTTCAAAAGGCAAGGGACCAGGACAAGAGACAGGTAAATGTTTTCTCCCAGCAGCCATACCCTGTAGGGCCTTACAGACCATTTTTATTTGAAGAACGATGGGAAGCCTAAATGAAAGGATTAATGTGATTGAATTTGCCTGTGTGTGTGTGCATTTTAAATTCATTCTGGAGGCAGTGGGGGTGGGGGACAATTTGAAAGGCGCAAGCAAGAATGGAGCCAAGGGAGACTAGGTAATGTCTTAGGTTAGGAGGCTCATGGAGTAGACCAGGGAGAAGTTGATGGTGGTGAGCACTAGAGATGGAGAGAAGGGGGGCAGTCTGGCAAATGGTAATGGCGGAAAATTGAAGGAGACTGTTATGAGTTGCACTTGATAGGGAGGAGGAAGAGCAGTGAATCCAGGATGACTTAGATTTGGGTCTTAAAAATAATGAGAAAGGAAGAGTGAATTTGTTGGGGGAGAGAATGAGCTTGGTACTGAATACAGTGTATCAGGTACTTTAGAAACATCTATATAGTGAAAGAAAGGAGACTGAAGATACTACATTTTGTACTCTTCATAGAAGAAAGGTTAGCTATTTTAGTAGGTTTTATGGGTTGGTATGTTTGTTTTGCATGTATAAACATGAACTGTTAAAAAAACTGTGGTTAACTACACATAATATAAAATTTACTATCTTACTCATTATAAAATATGATCTAGGAGTGTTAAGTATATTCACATTGTGTGTAGCCAATCTCCAGAACTTTCTCATCTTGCAAAATTGATTCATTAAATATTAACTCCTCATTCTCCCCTTGCCCCAGCCCTGGGAACCACCATTCTGTTTTGTGTTTCCATACATTTGACTACTCTAGATAGCTTGTGTAAGTGAAATCATAACAGTATTTGCTTTCTTTTGGCTGGCTTAGTTCATTTAGCATACTGTCCTCAAGATTCATCCGTGTTGTAGAATGTATCAGAATTACCTTTTTAAGACTGAATAACATTCTAATGTATGTATACACCACATTTTATTTGTGCGTTCATCTGTCAGTGGACACTTGGGTTACTTCTGCCTTGTGGCTATTGTGAATAATGCTGCTATGAACAATGGTGTGTGAATATCTCTCTGAGATCCTATTTCCACCCAGAAATGGAATTTCTGGATCATATGGTAATTCTGTGTTTAATATTTTGAGGAACTATTCTACTGTTTTCCATGACAACTACCCCATTTTACATTTCCAGAAACAATGCACAAGGATACTGTAGTAGTATTTTTTTGTCTTTTAGATTATTTCTTTATTTTTGGTATGCTAGGTCGTTGTTGCTGTGCATGGGCTTTCTCTAGTT